CTGCCAAAAAGTCAGGAAAGAGGAAGTCCCCTTTTACATTGAGACTTTTCTAGTTGGGGGAACATTTACCCATAGCCAGAAGGTAGTCCTGGTTCCTGAAAGAGGCGAGGGGTCAAAAGAGGAATTGAGTAGTGGGGTAGAACCTTCCACAGCAAATCCGGCCCCTGCTCCCTCCTTCCATTTTTCCTTCTCCTCTCCGTGAATTTGGGCATTCAAGTTCAGTTACCTTAGAAACACGAACGGCTCCGGCTTCCGTGACCTGTAGGAAAAGGTGTCTACCACAGATTGCTTTGCAAGACCGGTTGTGTTTGGACTGCGGTTGGGCTGTGAGCTGCTTGTCTTCGATCAAAGCAGGAAGAAGAAGAGACTCTTCCTTTGAATCCAGAGGGAATCCCTTGAGCCCTTTATCTTTGTATTCAGAAGGCTTTTGAAGATTGTAGGTGGAGAAGATTGTGAGCTCTCCAGAACAAGAAATGTCTTGAGTTTTTGGAGTTTGATAAATTGGGAAAGGTAAACATTAGCCTACATTCAGGATCGAAAACCTCGTCCTCTCGGTACCTAGTGACAGAGTCCCCCATTCTCATGACAGGGGAAAATGACTCTCAAGAAAACAGAGGATCCCGCTCTGCCACACTGACCCTGGGCAGCCTTGCAGGGTGTCACAATCCCAGGCCTTACCCCAGACCTTTAGCGGTTCCCTGTGTCCCATCACCAGTCTCCTGTGTCCTTAAGGAAGCCGCTAAAATTCTGTTAGAGCCACCAAACGCTGGGATACGCAGGAAGAAGTGATACTCAGCCAAGGTGAGGTTGGAGCCAAACTTTAACATTCTGGAGGAATCCGTGTGTGGTGGGAAAAGAAGAAACAGGCTTTCCCTGTGTGGGGCGGGGTATGGGGGAGTCCTGCGCGGCATAGAAGTGGGCTTGGGGTGAGGAAGCCCACGAGAGGTTCCGGCCCGAGGTGCTTAACACCAGAGAGTTCTGGGAGCGTAGTCCTCACACGAGGACTGACAGCAAGAATTCAGAGGCTTTTCAGCTTTTGGGGTTGGAGGCAGAGCAGCTGCTGGAACCTTCTCCCAAATTGGGCGTTATGAGTTTCATGCCTTCGGCCTTTGCAGGTACATGTTTTCAGTTCCCTGAGAACAGGTGATCTTTGTGCGGGTCTGCCCAGGAGGCTGGGCCCTTCTGCTGCTGCCTGGGTTGAAAAGCACAGTTTACGGAGCACCTCCCGCTGAAGAGGTTGAGGGTTTTCAGTGGAGGGTGGCAAACAGTAGAGGCTGTGTCACGGCAACTGCCTTTCCAGAAGCGAGGCTCTTTCGGGCCCCTTACTTCTAATGACCACTTGGTGAGACGGGGCCTGTGCAGGAAGCACCCTGGGGGCCTCGCCTTCGGGCTGTGGCCGGTCCAGACGGTGATTTCTGAAGCCTGGCTGGTGGAGCTCGGCTCCTCAATTCTTTTGGACTGTGGGTCAGAGACTCTTAATTCCGAGACATTCAAGCAGTGCCCCATCTGGCAAATGCAAGGTCAAGCGCAATGGCAGGGAGCCTGGGGATGGTTGTTAACGTCACGTGGGAGAGAGTCAGGGCTGGGGGAAGCAGTTTCTGAATGTACCAGCGTCGCAGCCAAGGCCAGGCCCGTGACATACACACGCGTAACTGTGGGGATCCCAGTTCTGTCAGAAGTCCCAGCAGCGCGACCATCACATCACTTGTGACAGCTCTGAGCCAGCCAGGGCTTTCTCTGCTGATTAGGCATCAAGGCAAAGTAACCTTTGTTTTTTAGGTCAGTTAGGGCATAGATCAAGGCAGATGGAACCTGAGCCCAGCTTCTTACCGGGCTGAGATGTCTCTATGGCTAACTCAGACTAGTTGCTTTTGCATCAGAGCAGATTGGGAGCTTGCTCTGTACCACACTGGAGTTCAGGAAACACCCACATGTTACCCGACAGGTCCCATCCCTCACGTTTAGTCTCTTTATTCCACAATCCCCTGGGCGAGTGTAAAGCTGCAAATTCTTTATAATAAATAGTGGCTCGCTGAATTGTTGCCTATAAAGGGCCCTTATCGTCTTTCAGTCTCATCAGAACTCTGGCCATTGAAGACTCAGTACCAGGAAAAAGTCTCAATATATCAGACTTCTTGGCTCTCACAAGGCAGCTTGAAGGAGACCAAACCACATCCAGATTAAGTTGTCCGTTTGATCCAGAGAGAGTGAGCGTTCCCATTGCTCACTTGGAGGCTGGCTGAAGTCTACCAGACTGAAGCTCTGCATCAAGGTACTGCCGAGCCTGAAATATGTTTATGAGACCCACCAGGAAGCTTAGAAAGAGTCTGGACCCAGCCCCTCATCCTCTGTCATCTGCACGGGGTTTGACCCTCGTTCCGCCCCACCCCTGCCCAGCATTCACATCTTGGGAGGCCACCTCTCTTTTTCTTTTTTCGGTGTCTGCCTTTTTGGTAAAAATCTCTGAGCTGGTTCCCTCAGTTACAGAATAAACAGCGGTGAATCTGCCTGTGGTCCACGTGAAGGCAAGGACACCCCTTAAGTGACTTTTAATCCCAGGCGTCCATATTCCTGCAGTTCCAGCAGTGGGCTTTCTAAAATTTATTTATTTGTTTATATTTTTTATTTTTGGCTGCGTTGGGCCATCGTTGCCGTGCACGGGCTTTCTCTAGTTGCAGCGAGTGGGGACTACTCTATGTTGCGGTGTGTGGGCTTCTCATTGCAGTGGCTTCTCTTGTTGAGGAGCACGGGCTCTAGGTGCGTGGGCTTCAGTAGTTGTGGCGTACAGGCTTCAGTAGTTGTGGCACACGGTCTTAGTTGCTCCGTGGCATGTGGGATCTTCCTGGACCAGGGCTCGAACCCGTGTCCCCTGCACTGGCAGGCAGATTCTTAACCACTGCGCTACCAGGGAAGTCCAGCAGTGGGCTTTCTAACTGGGCCGTCCAAATGGGGACTCACTGAGTCCCAGGCAGGCCAAACGGTGTCTGGCATTTTCTGGAAGGAATTTCCCTGACATGGTGTTGCTTTCTGGTCTTTCCCGGGAGGTCAGGAAGGCAGCACCGTTCATTCCTGC